CACGGCGACCTGGTGCGGGAGGAGCTGGCCATGGTGCAGGGCGCGCTGGAGCTACGCACCAAGGTGGTGGAGGATGTGCTGACACCGCTGGCCGACTGCTTCATGCTCCGGGCCGATGCTGTGCTGGACTTCGCCACCGTCTCTGAGATCCTCCGATCTGGTTACACACGCATTCCAGTCTATGAGGGTGACCGGCGCGACAACATTGTCGACCTGCTCTTTGTCAAAGACCTGGCCTTTGTCGACCCTGATGACTGCACTCCCCTGCAGACTGTCACCCGCTTCTACCGCCGCCCGCTCCACTGCGTCTTCAACGACACACGCCTCGACACGCTGCTCGAGGAGTTCAAGAAGGGTGAGGTCGCCGGGCCACCCTCCGCACCCCCCCGGGCTTCCCCTGCACCCCTCTGCACCCCCAATGGTTTCCAGGTCAGCAGCCTCCACGGGCAGCCCTGCGTGGCCTCCTGGCAGGATGTGGCAGGTACCAGGGATGCTGGGGGGAGTCGGTCCCTGCATGTGCTGGTGTGTCGATGACCCTGGTGTCGCCTGGTGGAACAGCCCCAGGTGCATTGAGGGCCAGCAGCCCTTGATGTCCCTGTGATGCTATGAAGACTCTGAGAGCTTTTGGCCTCACAGGTAGATGGCTCAGCAGGTGAGCCTGTCCCCCAAGGGCTGGCAGCAGTGGACTGGCAGCACGGGCATGGCACCTGCCTTGCACCATTGCCCAGACAGCATTCGCTGCTCTGTTCTGTACAAGGGAGTTTATCACAGGAAATTGCTTCTCATGACTTAGCTTTCACATTTTCAGCTTGGCAGTGAGAAGGAGGTCTATAAAGTGTTTCTATGCAAGTGGTTTAAAGAAAGAAGAAAAGATTAAGCCCTTAGAAAGAGCTGTGCTTTTTTTGCAGCTGTGACAGCATTCATAATGCAGCAGCTGCCAGCAGCCTGAGAGATGCTGAGAGCTGTATTTCATTAAGCATACCTTGAGAATACGCACAGCATGTGTTTTTCTCTCCCCCTGGGAGCTGTGTTTTGCCGCGTGCTACTCACTACGTCATGCTGTGGTGAGTGAGCCCAGGAATGGCTGCAGCAGTGGCAGCTGCATTATGTAATGTGGGAGGGCAGCGCTGGGCTCCGGGCTGCTGGCGCCGCTCTGCCGCAGGCTCAGCTGGTCAGATGAGAAAGGCCAACCTGGCCCACTCCAGAGACAGAGAAAGCCTCTCTGTGAATCATCTCCTGCCCGTTTGTGGAGGTGGGAGGAGGAGAGGACAGGACGTTTCTCAGTGTGCCAGGAATGTGCTCATCAGATACATGCAGGTCAGCATCTTCTCCACAGAGATGTTCGGCTGTGTTCCCACACCACCCAGGATCACAGGCAGAGGAGTTCTGTGTGCCACCACCTGCCCTCTCTGCCCCTCAGCAGGACTGGAGACTCCCAAGAGAGAAAATCAGAAATTTCCTGGTTTTTGAACAAGACTGTTAGCAAAAGCATTGGCATTGTTCTCTGGGTTCAACCTTGGTGAGCTGCAGTAGTCCATGCCCGCCCCCTTCCCCCCATGCCAGCTGTCTCTTGTCTTCCTAATGCCTTATGTGCTTCACAGTTCCTTCCTGGCTGTGTCTTCCTGCAATAGCACTGAAGTTCACCTGAGGTCTCTTCTACCTCTTTCTTGTTTAGAGATGTCACATGATTTTGGCACCCTCTCCCTTGATGAGGCTCCCCTGCAACTTATCTGATTTACTTTGATACACTTCCCCTTCCAAATTTCTTCTCCAGCATGGCACCCTATGGGTCAATAGACCTATAAAAATGGGCTTGTGGTTGCTTGGTTCCCCGTCCTTTGCTTGCTGTCCTCTGTGCCCTCCTTAAACAGAGCTGTTTGGTGTGTGCTGCTCTGTGAGCTCGTGGGTATGGTAACAAACCTTGCTACCTGCCCTGCACTCTCATATGCTGGTCTTCATCTCCGATGAAGATTATGCATCCTTCTTTAACATTGCTCCTTTAAACTCTTGGCATATCACTTCAGTTCTTCCTCCTTTGTATCTGTCTGCCACTGTGGCCTTCTGGGGTATTTTGCTATAGCCCCTATTTAGAGCTGTCCCTAAACCCTTTATCTGTTGCCACCTCACTTCTCCTTGTCTTTTCTAAACTACATGGCTGAAAAGCCTTGCTTTTGGTCTTCATATCTAACTCTGCATGGGGTTTAGCAATTCCAGTTCTTCCCCCAAATGTTCTTCTTCCCAAGAATTGATGTTTTCTTCTGATTCATCTTTCTTCTATTTGTAGGCATTTGGTCACCCCCAGCACCCTGAATTTGCAAACAGTTACCCCCCAGCCCAGCCCTGAGCCCTCCTAAACTGTATTTTTCCAGTTCCAAATGCAGGTTCTCGTGCTGGCTCCCACATTGTGACAGATGTTAGCTCCCAGCTGCCTTCAGCCCCATCCACTGCTGCATCAGCCCTGTTCACTTGACTATTTAATTTCTAAAATAAAGATTTCCCGTTTGTAATTAAGAATCTTTATCACTGTCTCCTTTTGTGTGTCCATTTGAATTATGGTGAAGTATCTTCAAGTTTGATCCAATCAAGGTTGCTTTTCATGGCCTGGTCTTCTGAGACACCTTTACTAATTAGAAAGTAGTCTGATTGCTTGTTGGCTCAGCGAGTGTTTAATGAAGGCATTCATCACTTCACACATCCAAGGTGCCTGCAGGACAGCAAAGCCTCCCACTGATACAGCCCAGCCTCTTTCTAGGAAATTAAAGTCTCTGGTAAGGATGGGCATTAACAACCACCTCCAGGTCCTTATGTCCCTCACAAGCCTTTAGAAAAGCCAGTTTTTCTTTCCTTTTCTCATCATTAACTCAATTTTTGTATCTTTTGTTTCTTTTTGTTATTATAATGTTTACACAAAATTCCTATAACATTTTATATCCTTCTTCCTTGGATAGCAACGTGTACTTCTGATCTGTTTCACTAATGATTAATGTTCTGCCACATCCACTATACCCATACTGTCATTTTTTTGCATAATGTATAAGTAACACAATTTCACTGCCAGAGCTCCTTGCCACAGTACACAAACATTTGTTCTTTCTTACTGAAAATGTCAAGGGATTATTAAACACAGTGCTTTTGGATTCTTCCTCACACCTCTGACAGCACTTTCATTTTCTGTCTCCTACTCACCAATATCTCACTATTATCTTTGTTTACCTGAGGCATTTCTTTTCTCTTGCTGTTCTGTCCCAGCTATGAAGATAATCAGCCTTTTTTCCTCTTTGGTCTTCTGTAGCAGGGTTGGAGGGGAAGCTTTCCTTCATTTGTTTCTAGGTGTGCTCACACTAACCTCGTTTGAGTGCAGTTCATTGCTGCACTGGTGTTTACCTTGATTTTAATCCACAATTAGATGTGTCACAAACTGCCTGCCCCCCAGCAGGACCTTGTGTGGAAGGGATTACCTTCCACAGATCTGTAGCATCAGCTTTCCATTTAATTTAACATTTAAATTGTATTAAATGGTAGCACACACTCAGTGGCACCCAGGGAGCACCTGGCCCAGTGTGGTTATGGTGCCCAAGAGCTGTGAGCTCCTGGTTAGCAAAGCCTGGCCCCTGCTCCATCACAGCAGAACTGGTCAGACTCTTCACCTCTGCCTTTTCACAACCCTGCTGCTGCAGCCATTGTTAGATTTCTCGTTCAGTACTGATTCCTGCCAGAGAGGTGGTTAAATTGGGGGTCCCAATGAGAACTGGGAAAACCCCAGAGAAGACTCCAAACAGCACCAGAGGGGCAGTCTGGTCTGCAAGAGAATAGTGTAGACTTCAATCCACAGCCCAAATAAGGAGGGCAGCTGCAAAAACCATGCAGAAAAACAACATTACAGCAGCATGAGACAGGTTCAGCTGAAGGAAGGAAATACTTGTGCTGCAATATGATTTTGACTTCATCTTCTCAGCAAAAAGAACTCAGAAATACTGAGAGCTGGACACCTAATTTTCCATCTTTTCAAGGAAACTAGACAGTCTTTTATAGAAGGCATATATTGTTTTGCAGCATTAACTGAGAAGTGTTAAGTGAAGGACCCTAGACAAAATGTGTCCCCTCTTCGCTGGAAATAAGAAAATACATACCAGTACAGTAATTTTACCACCTGCAGCCTGGTGAAAGAAGATGAAAATACTGAAGGATTGAAAAAATTGGGAGACAATCTCTTGTCAATTTGTATTGGTACACCTTGGAGTACCTGGCTTTATTCTGGGCTCCCAGGAAAAAATACCAAATACACCAAAAAAATAATTGCACCATATTTAGCAAGCTACAGCTAAGTTGGGAGGCAGATGAGCTTTCTGTAGGACAAACTTTACCTAGGGAATGTGGAGCTATGAGGAGGGCTTTCTGCATTTATTCAGTGTGAAATGTTGTGGGTGATACAATCTGTTTCTCCTCCTTTCTTGAAGATAACCAAGCAATGCATGTTGCAGCTCCAGTCCAGTGATGTAACTGCTCCTGGAAACCTCTTCTGTGAGGTCCACCTCCTTGTTTTGCAGTGCCTCTGGGAAGTCACAGTCTTGTCCCTTCCTCAAGTTGTTTATGGGTTTTGTTGACTGATTTCCTGGAGGGGTCCATGTACAGCACTGGCACCTTTCAGCAAGTAACTTTCCTCTGTCAGAGGAACAGCAGAAAATTACTCTTAATGTTCATTTTCCTGCAGCAGGGCAGAGACTGAGCTGCAACTCAAATTAGCTTTCTGTGGCTTGGCATCTTTTAAGAGTTACTAAAAATAAATTCTCCAAACCCCAAATTTCAGGCTTAGCAGGGAAAACAGCCTGTCCTGTGGAGGACAGCTCTGCCCTAGGGTCTGTCTTTACATTTCAAAATGCTCCACAGCCTCTATTAGACTTCTGCAAATTGGATGTAGCTGGAGAAGGTGCTTACATCTGCCAGGAATTGGGGTCAGTACCATTTCAGATGCTTTTTGTACCATTCCTCTGATCCCTCAGGCACTGTAAGCACACAGTGTTGCTTCAAATTTAACTCAGCCTTCAAGAGATTTCTGCAGGTGCTTTAGTCACTCTGCTGGGCACCTTGATGAGCTGAAACAATGCCCTCCCAAGGCAGTTGAATGGGTTAAGGAGCCAGTTTTTCCCAGGACCTATCACCTATACCTCTCCTGGACTGTGATTGCCAGGCTGAGAGCAAGGGAGCTGCTGATAGACAAAAAATGGTCTCAGTGTCTCATGCTGCAATTCTGCCTGAAACATTACTGTGCATTTCCCACTAAACTGTGCTAAATCTTGCTGTGTAAGCCCTGGACTGCTCTACCACACCCCAATAATCCCAGGATCAGGCCTGCTCTGGGCAAGCATTCAGCAAAGCAAGAAGAGAGCCAAGTCCTTGGGGGAGAGGGAACCCTGCCACCCAATTCCCTCTTTATAGCTGTCAAAGGCACCTTCATGCTGAGCTCTTGGGTACCCAGAAGGTCAGGATCCTGCTGCACTACAAATGGAAGATGAGATTCTGTGTCCCCTCTAATCTTCTCCTTACCTTTCTGATCTGCAATGGTAATAGATCAGCTATTCCAAATATTCCATCTTTTTTATAGCTTTCCTTAGGATTAGGAAAAGCACAAAAAGAGACTATGAGTGAGGCTACAAACAGATGTAAGCAGGTGAAGTTTTTGTCTCTGAGAAAGGTCTGGGTTAGGTTAGGATTTACAGTTTTTCCTTCACATAGCTCTTATTCTTGTAGAGCTATGGGACCCTGCATCCCTCTTGGTTGTTTCCCCCTGCTTAGATGTGCATTTCCTCTAGACACAAGGTGTGCTTTTGCCCAAAGTGCAGAGTGGTGGTAACACAGGATCCCACTCACACATATTGTCAGTTCAAGGTGCTCAAATCAGGGTCCCCACTTTCTTCAGATGCAGGTCAGCAAGAGAGCATGGAGATGCTGGCAGCCCCTGTGAAGAGCTCTGAAGGAAAGCACGCAGAAAATAGATTTCAGTTACATCATGGTTGTTTCACAAATCAACCTTATTTAAAAATTACTCTTCTTTTTTTTTTTCTTCCATTTTGTAGCTGTAAATGGTTCAGGCACAGGTCTGTGCCTGCACCTTTGATCTCCTAATAACAGCTTCATATCTTATTGTAAAATTTATGAAAATTAATTTCATGCTCAGGATGTTCATCCTGTGGAACAAGAGACAAGGCTAAAACATCTTTAACATTCCTCTGGCAGGGTACCTATATTAAAAAAATGATAAAGAAGTAGTCTGGGCTATAATTGAACTCAACAGCACTTTCTTTCCCAGAAATCAAGGCATTTCCATGTGTTCAGATCCCGTTCCCTCATTGGGGAAGATGCTTGGAGGTGGATCTATGAGCCCAAGGTCATTTAGGTGCCTATGAAAATCAGGCTCCTAAAAATGGGCATAAAAGCTTTGGATAGCTGTTCAGATGCTTGTTCCATCTGGAAGCTCTCAGCTGTTTATATTAGCTCTGTAATTTAGCATTTTGAGGCATTAACTTTCCACTGAAGCTGTTGTTTGAAAAGAGCAGATTTCATGTAGCTCATAAAGAATTTAGTGCAGTTGTATCCCATGCTGAGCAGACACTTAATCACCTATAGACTTCCTGTGCCAGAGCAGTCCTGTGGAGGCCGGCGGAGCTGCTTGCACAAGGAAAGTTAATTGCCCATTTGTTCTAGCATTTGCCAAACCAAGGCTTTGATGCTCAAGTGTTCCACTGTGCTTTCCTGCATCAGCAATAGCCCTGTAAAGTTTACGTGTGACAGCTTGCTAGTGGGGAAGCAGCTCACCCTTATAATTCATCTCATTTGAGCTATCGAGCAGTGGTTACAATAGCACGGGTTTTGGAATCAGTTTTACAAATCTTAAAGGTGTTTTAGGTCAAGTCTGGGGGTTTGTTTAAGTTATTTACCCCCTCTGTTGTGCTCCCACTGAGGCTGACCTGCTGGATAATGGCAGCAGAGGCAAATGTGACCCCTCTGATGTCCCCAGGTCTGTCCCTATGCCACCCTCCCTTAGACATTGCTTCCACCTCATTGCCAAGATTCTGCCCTTGTACACGCTCCAAAGGCCACTGCTTTTCTCCCCTACAAGTGCAGCAGCTCCCAGGGCTGGGCAGAGGGATCTAGCTGAGCTTGGCAGCACTGCCCAGGAGGGAACAAGCCATGGCCATACAGCCAAGGCACCTGCAAACCCCACACCGAAATTTAAGGGGTCTGTTGAAAAGCTGATGGGAGGAGATACAGGACCCAGTCAAGCCAGAGGGGTGGGACACAACTTTGGCAATGATCTCATGTCTTTCAGGTGGGAAATGGGAGCATGTCAGCCCTCCCCCAGAGGGGAGCAGCTGTGAGCAGCACTCACTTAAAGGACTGGGACTGGCTGGCATTCAGGGCTTTTTGTGACATGGACACCACTGGCCAGGCACGGGCTGGGATCAGCTCTCCTGGTATGGGCAGCAGCAACCACACTGAACTGCAACAATTTTCCATTGTTGGGTACCTGCTCCATTTCTAGTGTGGATATTAGCCTGGAAACATGAACCTGGGAGTTTGGAGTGTGAACACAAGTGTTTATTTTCTGTGAAAATAAAGAACTCTGGAGTGCTCTAACAGCCCTATTGGCTCTGCCCCCAGTGCAGTGAAGCCATGGGTCCCCTTCCAGGCTAATGGTGCTGGGTTATTTCTAAATAATCTCATTTGCAGCTACGTGAACATAGAGCTTGAATCACATTTCTAGTGTAAATTGCAGTGTCGATGTAGGTGTTTGGCCAAAAAAAGAATTGCCTCCATCACTCTCTGACTGCCTTTAAGTAGCACCTAAGCTTTTTGTAAGGGCTTGGTGGTTTTGGGTTGCATGTAAATGTCATTAACAACAAGCTCTCAGCCAAAAGAAATAACTTTTTCCCCCTCCTCGCTCACCCAAGGACTTGTAGGAGACCAGATGGCCCCAGTGTTTGGGAGCAGAGTTTGGCAAAGGAGACCTTTTCAAAAGCTGGACTTTGCTAAGATGAAATGTAGCTGTCGCTGCTGTCTTGCAGCCAACTCCTCTGCTTTTTTCTTCTTAAGTGCTGTGTTGCTTTGTGGACAGAAAAGATGCACAAACCTATGTATGAAAGGAGTGAAATAGCCCAGTCTAAAGAACATGCTGAATTTTCAGTGCCCCGGGGCTATTGATTTGGGGTTTTTTAAAGTAAATCTCAGTGCTACTTGCTGCAATGTTATGTTCTCATTTCTAAATCTGTAGGCGTGGGAGGCAGCGAGCTGCTCTCTGAAATCTTGCAATAAAACCTTGGTATGAGGAGGAGGGAATTTATACTGTGGAAAATGCCCAAGATTTGCTGTGAGAAATGTATAGTGCTGATCTTCAGCTGAGAAATGTCGTCTGCTCGTCCCAAATCCAGGGCAGGGTTATTTGAAGGTTACATGATCCTCAGCAAGCCATGTTTGTGGGGCTGCCAGGCTGCTCTGGGTGTGCTTGTCCCTGCACCTCTGCACGGATGAGAGCTGGCAGGGCAAGGAAGGAGCTGTGCACCTGGCAGGAGCCCACCCTGTCACATCTTTATGCATGGGTGCTGTTCACATCCCCTGTCAGGAGCAGCAGGAGAGCTGGCTGGGATGGGTTTATGGGAGAAGTGGGTGCAGAGGCAGCTGCATGGCAGAGAAGACTTTTCCCTGTTTTGGGTGACCATTGCTGCTCAAGGAGCTCAGCTGTGAGCCCAGGGGGAAATAAGGTGTCAGCAGCTCCCCAGAGGTCGCTGCAGCTTGGAATTCAGGTGTTAGCAGCTTCCCAGAGCTCACTGCAGCTTGGAATTCAGGTGTTAGCACCTTCCCAGAGGTCGCTGCAGGACTCCTGAGCTTGTGCAGGCATTGCAACAGGAGACCTCAGGGATGCAGAACAAACAGAGGGAGCAGAAGTTTTTGGCTGTGGTGCCAATGAGGGTGCTTTTAAGTAAAACTAGAGGTTCAGAATCTGTGTGTGCTGGTGGGCAGTGTGGGAGCCACACAGGCAGCAAGAAACCCAGGGCTGTTCATTGGCAGTTCCAAGAACATGTTGGATCTGGAAACCCAGAAGTTGTTTGTGGCTTGGAAGTCGGGTTCTGGTCGAGATGCTGAGCAGGATCATAAATCAGAGCAGCCAGTAAAAGAAGGGAGAGGTTGAAAAAGTCAAAACAGCTTACAGAGATCTGGACATGCAAAAACAAATAGAAATGTTTCAAGTATGCCAAAACCAAGAAACTTGAGAATGTGTCAGCAGAGCTGCCAGCTTACAAGGGACAAGTGAGGAAGCTGAAACTGTGATCCAGGAACACTGGGACTTCTGAGCAGGAGTCAACATCATTGCAGCTGAAGGTCCTGGACTCACTCTGTTTATTTAAGGTAACATAGAGAAGATGCTGTTAAGGGGAAGACTTGGAGAAGAATTTCAGGTGCAAGCTGATGGGTTGAAAAGTATTCAGTGTCTGCATCCAGATGGTTCACCCAAGAGTTCTGCAGGAGCTGGGCTGAAAGCTGCAAACAAACATTCATGTTTCTGCATAAAAACCAGCTGCTGTTTCAAGGAGATTGAGGCTTTGCCCATATTTTATGAAAAACCTCAGTATTGGTCTACACAGTGATGGATAGAAAGATGAGGGGGAGCTGTTCCTGGCAATTTAATAAGAAAGATAATTAGCAATAGAATAAGAAACACCAGGAGGATATGGGAAATCAGTAGAGCCAAGGACACATTCACATTTCTGTGTTGGAGAACATTGTCTCATTGCTCTGCTAAGAGTTTCATGTCAATGCAGCTGAGGGTAAGGAAGAGATGGTGTAATGTACACTTCATTCCTGCACAGGAGGCTTTCAAAGAGCTGAACAGAGTGACTCGCAGCCTGGGTAAAGAGGGAAAGTGGCCCCCAAGAGGAGCTTACATGTACAAACCAGTCTGGACAGGGCTGTCCTGTTAGGCTGGGCTGCATGTCCAGCCCTTCTCCTTGGGCTAGCACCCGTGGGTGGGTTTGGGTGACAGTGTCTGCTGTGATCTGTGCCTCCCACCAAACCCTGCCCACCTGCCTGCATCCCTGGGCATCCCTCTCAGGATCACCAGGCCAGGTGTCTCAGTGCCACTCTGCTTTTCCCCTGCAGGGAAGTCCCACCTGGCCATCGTGCAGCGGGTGAACAACGAAGGGGAAGGAGACCCGTTCTACGAGGTGATGGGCATTGTCACCCTGGAGGATGTCATCGAGGAGATCATCAAGTCCGAGATCCTGGATGAGACAGATCTCTACAGTTAGTGTCCCAGAGCAGCTACTGCGGTTGCAGGAGCCAGGGTGGGAGCCTGCACAGACACACAGACGTGGGTAGGAAACACGCCAGAGCAAATTGTGGTTCTTCCCCAGAGTAATTTGCTAGTGATGGGAAAGACAAGAATGATGGAGAGATGCTGGTCAAGGGTCTCTATCTTGGATGCTCAAAATAGAGAAGTACCAGCATCAGCAGTGGGTGGCTGGGCAGGGCCTGACCTAGGAACATCTGTGCTGGGCATGAAATGGGTGGTTCCCAAGCTCATTTGCATCTCTGGGTGATGCATCCAGCCTGGAGAGCCCAGGTTTACAGTCATGTGTGATTTACAGTCCTGCTCCCTGCCCTGGGAGCTGCTCCCAAGGCTGCATGCACAGCAGGTTTTATGCACCCCACTGCTCCATCTGCTGCTCCTCAGCAGCCCTGCCATAGGGTGCAGCCAGACATGCCTGTCCCTGTGTGTGTGCATGTGCCATGGGGCCCTGCAGCTGCAGCAGCTTTGTCAGTGCCTTCTCTGCTCTGCTCTGCTCTGCCTGCAGCTGACAACCGGAAGAAGGAGCGGGTTCCCCACCGGGGACGCAAGCCCCAGGATTTCTCCATCTTCAGGCTCTCAGAGAGTGAGATGAAGGTGAAGATCTCCCCACAGCTCCTCCTGGCCACCCATCGGTTCATGGCAACAGGTACACTTGCCCTTGTGCAGGCCCTGCAGCACCAGCCCCACAGGGCATCCCTAAGCCATCCCTGGGTCAGACTCCCCCCCACTGAGCAATTTCCACCCACTGGACCTACAGCCTGGACATTCCACTGCCCCACCAGTGGGGTCTGCATTTGTCTTCCCTCTTGGCAGTGGGTGCTTAGGCTGCAGGAGCAGGGCTGTGCAGCTCAGAGATGAGGGTTCTGGCAGTCCTGGGCCTGTTGAGCACAGCATGTGTGTGTTGCCTCCCCTCTAGAAGTGGAGCCTTTCAAGTCCCCCTACCTCTCTGAGAAGATCCTGCTGCGGCTCCTGAAACACCCCAATGTCATCCAGGAGCTCAAGTTCGACCGGAAGAACAAGAAGGCAGCAGAGCATTACCTCTACCAGCGCAACCGCCCTGTCGACTACTTCGTGCTCATCCTGCAGGTGCTGGGGCAGCAGCGAGCAGAGCGGGGCAGGCCTGGCCCTGCTTTCTCCTTGCCACCGTGTTCTGGGCTGCTTCTAATAGCAAAGATGCCCGTCCTCTTGTGTGGGACAGCAGCCCTGGGTGGGTCAGGAGCACGGGGAACTTGTCTGAGAGGGTTTTCCTCCTCCTTCCAGGGGAAGGTGCAGGTGGAGGTCGGCAAGGAAGGACTGCGCTTTGAGAACGGGGCCTTCACCTACTATGGTGTCCCTGCCATCATGGCTGTTGTCTCCTCAGGTGAGGCCTCTGTGGGCTCCCTCTGGCCCTGCCTTTGCCTCAGCAGCGTCCATGGAGGCTGAACCAGCTGGTGCCAGGAGAAGGGGCTGGCCATGGGGTGGGGTGGCCCTGCTTTGGGGTGTGGGGCAGGAGCCCTTCCTCTGCTGTTCCCACACCTCCAACTGTTGTTTCAGAAAATGATGTGCGAAAAATGGGAAGCCTGGCAGGATCCTCCTTCCTACGTAAGTATTTTGGGACAGGCTGAGGCCCTAAAACCTCTCTGCAGCGCTGGCTGGCTGGAGGGGCTATGGCTTTTCTCCCCATGCAAAACAGCTCAGACTGTGCTGAGGTAGACAGAGAAACAACATGCTGAGGGGCTGATGCAGCAAAGACCCCACAGAGTGACTTGGAGGTCCCTTTGAGATCCCTTTGATGTCCTTTTGAAGTTTCTACCACATGCTGGCTCTCTGCTGGTGGGTCCCAGCATGGCTGGTGCTGCAAGGGGCAGTGCCCACAGGTGGGTGTTATATTCATTCTAGGTCTCAGCATAACACCTTTAGACCCATTTGCCTTCCTGAGGCTCTCAGGGCACAACCTGAACACGGGGCCCACATTGGACTGCTTGGGAATTGCAGAGATGGGCTGATTTACCTGTGAGCTATTTGCATGTGATGATGGTGGGAAATTAGCCGAATGCCAATAAATTCCCTGCCTGCAGAGTTGGGTTAAGAAGCAGATCCCCTGCTTGCAGGAGTTGAGAGGGAGCTCTGACTAGGGGAGATTGAGAGGGGAGATTGAGAGGTACCCCCTTCTTTGCTATAACCCTACAAAGGTTTGGTCCCGTGAGGCTCAGGAGCAGGTTGAGGTGCTGCTCACTCCCTGTCCATCACATCCCTCATCAAACCCCAGATATTGCAATCAGATCTGCAGTGCTGATGGTGAGCTGAGATGCTCTACCTGCCTAATCAAAACAGGCACCTACTAAATGCAGTCTTTAGGGAGATGTAAAGAGGAATGCCATCAAGAGAACAGGGGGAGTCTCTTGGGGCAGGTGGCTCACTCTGGTGGGTCCCAGTCTTTCTGCAGCTCTAGAGTTCACCTATTTCCTGCTGCTTGCTCTGCTCCTGCAAAAGGCTGGCTCTGGACTGATGGATTAACCCCCCAGTGCACATTCCTGCTTCGCCCTGTGTCCAGGACAGAGGAAACAGTGAAATGGCCACTTTCTGCCAGAGTGCTGCTGGATGTCCCAGTGTCCTGTGTTCTCAGTGAGAGTCCTCCCGGGCGCAGTGGGGCTCAGGCAGTGAGCGCTGCCTTGGGCCAGCAGGGCAGCAGTGGGTGATGTGTCAGAGCAGCCGAGCATGTCTGCAGTGCCGCCTGCTGGGACGGTGCTGCTCGGGGCTCCTTGGCGCCCCGTGCTCCCCATGACACTGTCGGGAGGTGTTTTCTGCCGTGCAGCCATTCCTGCCTGCGGGGGACAGAGCTGCGGCACACCCCTGGCCAGCAAGGAGGCAGGCTGGGAGGTAACAGGGCATCTCCTTTTTGGGGGTGGCTGGCATCCTCTTTTCTCCTTGAAGGAAGGGACTGTGAGTAGAGTATCACAGCTGAGAATTCAGACAGCAACCTGAAGGATTTCACGAGTTGTTATCAATTAACTGTTATTATGCAATTGTTTTATCTGCAGATGATCTTTGGCATTAGTGCTGTGTGGGAGGGTCAGGCAGTGGGAGTACGGAGTCAATGCTAGTGGTTATCAAATCATTCTTTGCTCCCATCAGGACAAGGTCATTCCAGCAGTGCTTCTTGCTGATGTCTTTTTTATTTGCAGAACGTTTTGATTCAGGGGAGGACATGGAACAGGAATTCCTGGGAGAGCAGCAGGGAGATTAGAAAAGGGGACTGCAGGGCAAATTTCCTGGGGGTTTTACATTTGAAGCAATTTTTAAACATTAACCACACAGGCATCAGACAGTTCCTAGAGTGCTGCAGCCATGCTTTGGAGGCAGGGCAGGAGGGCTGGCAGCTGGGGCATCATGACAATGGCTGGAGTAGGGGCTGGCAGCCAGCAGGCTCACATCTCCCTCTGTTTTCGAGGTGGGCAATGGCAGTGGGGAAAGCAGAGACTGGCAAGTGTTGAGGAGTGCGTCACTTACCCTGTGTGTTGGTGTCTCTGTGCTTCCCCATCCCCTGTGGCATGGCCCAGGAACGCTGTCCCGGGCAGCAGTCACCAGCAGGGGAAATGGCCTGCCCTAGAAATTGTCATTGCTGCTGTAACCCATGGCAATAAAACATGGAAAGTGAGTGTCTATGATTTACCTTCTCTGTGGCAATGGGTCAGGCAGCCCCAGGTGCAGAGTCCTGGCTTCTTGCAGCTCCTGCAAGGATCAGCCCCAGTGGGTGGCTCTTCCTGGCATCACCTAAAGGCTGTTGAGACCCAGGACTTTTCAAGGAACTGCAGGCAGCCTGACATGAATCCCTTTGCTCTGCATCACTTTGAAGAGCTTCTGTCAGCCCCGGCCTGCAGCTGTGGGGCTGGGGCAGTGACTTGTGCAGCGATATTCCTTCTCTGTCATGTGCCTGCACACAGAAGCGCAGTGATTTAGCTTCAACCCATCTCCCAGGTGGCATAAGCAGACCACAAAGTCCCCTGTCCTGGCAATGGCTGGTAAAGGGCTAGAGCCAAGTGCCAGCACTTAGCTCATGGGGGAAAGATGCTTTCTACCCATGCCAAGGTTCCACGAGTTGTGTGGCTCTGCAGACAGGCCTGGCAGGAGCAGATCTCCTCTGCCAGCCTCACCTCCCCTTACCTGATCACAGAGCAACCTGCTGATAAACAACTTCCAAGACTGTGTTCCTGCCCGTGGCCCTGTTCCTCTCTCCAGAGCAGAAGCAGCAGGCTGTAAAAGGGGTGGGAAGGGATGCTGGAGACAGCAATGGGTGCTCAGCCCAGGACTACTGGCACATGATTCTTATTCTTCTTCTTCCTCTTGGTCTGTATCCCACCCTCACCTCCATCCCCCACCTTTCCTCTGGGTCCCCTCCTTCCCTCTCCCTCTGTGTCTCTGCAGTGCCTGTCTCAGTGTCCCGTACTTTCGCCTTCAGCAGAGGGGACTCCCTGGCTGGCTCTCCAGGTAACTGGGCATGGCTTTGGCCAGGGGCCTCTGCATGTGACAGGCTCCTTCCAGCACCTGTCCACAGTGCCCCAGCCCCCTCCTCCCTGCATGCTGGGCAGTACCCATGGCACCCCTGGGCAACCCTCACTGGTTGGTGACACACTGGGGCCAGCAGTCCTGCCACAGCCTCCCCAATATGATACAAATCCCTGGAAGAATGGGATGGGGACAAGGGGAAGCCATGGGCTTGGGCTCTCTTTGGTGTGCACTTCCTGTAATTTCCTGCACTTAGCTCTTGGGGTTTTGGCTTGCTGCTTTTGGTGACAGTGACCTGCAGCCCTGCATGCCTGCTGCCCTGCCCCCCTGGCTTTCTGCTGATCCGGGTAATAAAAAGCATTCTAGCAGCAGAGCAAAGTCAGCACGACGTCACCTATGCAAGGAACAAGCTGCCTTTGTTCCCTAATAAATCACTGAATAGACAAAATCCATCATGCCGTGTGTCAGAGGCCATGCTGTGTGTCAGAGGCCATCAGTCAATGTGAGTGACAGACCAGCTTGCCATGGCAGCCTCTCCTCCTGATCTGTCATAGTTGGGGTGAACAGGAGCATGCCCTTGAGACAGGTTAAGCAAATACTCACAGCCTGCCAGCTGCAACCAGGAGAAGTTGTGCCAAATGTGGTGCAGAAGACCAGCAATAACAGGAGGGCTGTCAGCAACAGGCAGGCAGCAGCCCTAACCTCTGCTGCTGCTGGCCCCGGCTCAGAGTCCTGCCCAGTGCCTCTGGTTTGTGTGGGGCTGGCATGGCACTGCACACACCAGCCTGCAGTGAGCAGGGCAGGCTGCAGGGCCCCTGCCAGCCCTGTGTCCTGGGGAACAGCCCCTGGAGGTGACTGCACCAGCACTGGGAAGCCAAGCAGCAGCACGTGTGAGTGTGTGCCTGTCCCTGCTGTCCTCTCCTGCAGTGAACAGGTCACCGTCGCGCTGCAGTGGCCTCAACCGCTCAGAGTCCCCCAACCGGGAGGACTATGGAGGGAGCAGCACACAGCTCCACAGCAGCAGCAACAACATCTACACGCCCGACTACTCTGTGCACATCCTCTGCGACGTGCAGTTCGTCAAGGTACGGCCAGGGCTGGCAGGGACTGTCCCACCCTGCCCACCCCTGTCCAGGTGCCCTCATGCCCCACTGTGCCCCAGGAGCCTGGTGGGTGCTGAGGAGTCTTGCACTTCCTCCTGCTGGAGGTTTGGAGCCACCAAGTCTCCGAGAGGTGCCGGTGGGCCCGGTGCCCACTGAGCTGGGTGCACGTGTGTGTGCCAGGTGACCCGGCAGCAATACCACAACGCGCTGGTGGCCAGCCGCATGGACAGCTCGCCGCAGTCCCCGGACATGGAGGCCTTCGACAGGGACTCAACCAAGGCCTCGACTGCACGGGGAACCCCACAGACACCTAAGGAGGACCCTGCCACCCTCCTGAATGAGAGGAACAGCATCATGTGTGAGTCACCCAACAGCATTCCTTCCCTGCCACAGGCCAGCACTGCATGTCCCCTGGGGGGGACTGTGCTGGGACCCTCTGGCACAATGCACACACCACCCCTGGGATGCAGCTGCACAAGGAGTGGGGCTCGCATACAGTGCAGGCATTTGCACACACACACACACCTGTGGATGTCTGCACGTCGACACAGCTGCTAGTGTGCAGCATGTAATTCCCCATTGCCTTGTGCTCGTGTCCGGGGGCTCCAAGCAGTTGGACCTGCTGCCATGGCTGGCATGCTGCTGCGTCCTGCCCCAGGCCACAGCAGCTCCGTGCCTGTGTCCCTGCAGGCAGCCGCTCGGAGGGGCTGCGCAGTCCCAGCGAGTCGGTGTTCCTGCGCATGGAGGGCATCCCCTTCATCCAGGAGGAGCTGGCTGACAACGAGGAGAACAGCAAGCGGCAGAGTGAGTCTGGCGGGGGGCACACACACCTGAGCCCGGGGCTGGCGAGGCCACAGTGCCCTGAGGTGCTGCAGCCGTGCTGGGCTTTTGCAGACAGTGAGTGCTGCGGGACCGTCCTGGAAGCAGAGTCCCCAGGGCGAGAGGCCGGGACCAGCTCATCGCCGAGCAGCTCTGAGGAGGCGCTGGGCAAGAGGCTGCTGAGATCCCTCAGTGAGTGACTGACCCAGGCACGGCACACCCAGGGGATGGCTCTGCCTCAACACCCCATTGCCTGTGTCAGCTGTTCCCATCTTGGGGACGCCCTGCAGGGGGATGTTGTGGAACAGGGGACAACCTAGCTCCCTGTCAGTACCTCGGCAGAAGGCAAAATGGCACCTAGGACTAGCTCAGGCAGAGCCAGCCACTAGGTCCTGGCCCAGCCCTATGCACCCCTGCCCTGAGCACCATTGCTGCTGCAGGTGGGCGCAAGCAGCGGACATCGTCAGAAGGTGAGAAGTCTCCAGAGGAAAGCTCCAATCTCGCCCCATTGATCACCTGAGCAGTAGCGTGGCCAGAGCACAGTGCTGGAGGCCCGTGCAGACTGGAGGTAAGATCCTGCCTCTTGGTGCAACATTCCTTCCCCAGCAAATGAGAGGTCACTCAGTTTAAATGGTGTAAAATAAGTTTCACGCAGCAAAGCCAAATGGGGTGGTCTGGAGCCCATGGAGGTGCGTGTGTTGATGGCGGCTAGAGCAGGATCAAGGGATATGGAGCAGGATCTGCTCTCAACAGCAGACTGGATGTCAGAGACGAGTGAGAGCTTGGCTCATATTTTCACTGTCGGCACCAGCATACACCTGAGCTTGGCTAGGAAAGGGGCTACAGGCCTGAGCAGCAGCAGTCAGAGAGGGCAGGCTCTGGCCACCTGCACCAGACTGTGCTTGTGTCTTGCAGGTCTGCAGCATGGGGTCTCCTGCCGAGGCTCACGTCCAACAGCAGGAGGTCTGCACTCGCTCGCTGCCTGTCCGCCCTCTCGTGCCGCCCCTCCCTGCAGGATCTGTGCAGAGCCTCATCCCCAGGCGAGAAAGGATGGACCCCACAGGGCTGAACCACGCAGGCAGCCTGCACCAGCTAGCTGGAGTCCAAGGGCCCTTGCCCTTGCGAGCCGCTCCCTGGTAGCATCTGGTGTCAAGGAAGAGGTGGAAAAAGGAAAGGTGAAAAAGTGTCTGTGACGGCATCCCTGCAAGCAGCGCAGGGAGGGGCAGCCCAAGCCAGAACTGCCCTTTAACATCACTTACCATCCCCATCCCAGCGAGGCCCGGAGCCCTGCAGTGCCGGTGCTGCAAGATGTCGTCTCCAGCAAGAGGAGAATGTGCTCTTTGGGAGTGCCACAGCAGCTAAGGGCCTCAGCACACATTGGTGCCGTGCCTGGTGACACGCCCGCTTGCAGCGCCTCGCTCATGCTGGCCATGGACATGGCCCAGCCCTCCCGAAGCCCTGCCAGGCCCAGGGCAAGGAGCCCCGCTCACCCCCAGTGCAGCCCCCTCGCTGGGGAGGGGGCTCTCCATGCTGCATTGGACCATCCTCCTCTCCACACACGCCTGCCGCTGTGAGGGAGGCTCGCACCAAGACCTGGGGGTGGGACAGACCAGTCAGTAGTTTTTGTAGAGGCTCAACGCAACGGGAATATCAACATTAAAAGTGATTTTTCCCTGAGTGATGCCCTCTCTGTGTCCATGGGTGAGGGAAAGATGCTCACCCCTCCCAGCAGGCCAGGCTGCCCTCATACCTAGGGCCACAGGTGCCAGGAGTAACAGCACTCAGCCTCACTGAAGGGACCAAGAGAACGGGTCAGCACATGCTGCCTGATTTCTTGGTCTGAAGGTGGGCTGTCACTCCTGCATCCAGGAGAACACTTGGCAAGCAGGGAGATAAGCCCAGCAGGGCAGACAAGGACTGGGGAAAACCAGGAGTTAATATGACGCCATTGCAAACACAATAGTGGGATACACGTGCTGGAGTACAGCCTGACAGATAACAACAGAAATCTCATAGTCCACCCATGCTGATAAAACTTCAGCTGGAATAACTGCAGCCCTGTCTGGGCACTGCCCTTCTGAGGAAACACACAGCAATTGAAAAGTGGACAGAGGAAAGCAAGGGCTGCAAAACAACCTACCCCAAAGGCTGAAGGAAATAGAGTCACTTAATCTTTACTGGTGAAGGATGTGAAAGGGAGAGAGGAAGTTTTCAAATACAAAAAAAGCTGTTGTACAGAGGAAAGGAATAATCTGTTCTCTGTTGCCATGGTAAATGGGATAATTGGTAATGAGCTTACACCACAGAAAAGGAGAAATTTAGGTCACTTGCTAGGAAAAAACAAGGTTGGTAAGACTAGCAAAACACCAATATAGATCACATGGGGTGGGCCAGCCTTCACACCAGGAGGGTCTGTAAGGGCAGAAGTGTAAGCAAGTATGATAAATAAATAAATTATCACCTCCTGAGATGACCCCTAGAAGTCATCTTTTAACCACCTCCTCACCATCCCTGCTGTGAATGGACACCAAGAGGAAAAGAAGATGCTCACCTGCAGAGAGGAGGGAAGGCTGCCTCTGTCTCACTCTCTTATATGATATGAATACTAACTGATAAAGAACAAACAAGAAACCCCATGCACTCTGTGCAAACACAACAAAGCAATGAGGCACCATTTTTGCCTTCTCTGTCTAAGCTGCAGCACAAGCAAATCCATCAGGGTAATAGCAACTACTGCTACCTGACACAAGGAAAGGAGCTGTCCCCTTTCTTCACAAGATCCTGTCAGGAGGCCGCTCTCTCAGCTCACAAATAGATCTGCAGTGACTGCAGAGAGCAGAAACAGATGGTCCCAGCTCTTTTTCAGTGCCAGAAACACAGGCTGTTGCTGGCAGGCCCCGCTGAAGCAAGTAGTAGATGGGGGTTCACTAGGAGCCTGCTGAAAAGGATGAACACAAGAGATCTGCTTTTGACACCTGAGGGGCAGCCCAGGAGCCCTGGTTCAGGGAGGGATGGACAAATGGAAACACTTGGCCATCCAGAAAGCAACCACAGACAGACAGACAGGCAGGATGAGCTGGGCAGCACAGGGCAGTGGGGCAGAAAGAACACAAGATGAACACAGGAGGAACTGGTTGGCTTCATGCAGTCACAGGGAGCTCTCAACAACACTCTCTCAGTAAGAATCCCCTTTTAGTAGTGGCTGTGATCATCAGAGGTGTAACATACGCTGAGAGAGAGAGACAGCTTGAAACAAACTGAGTAAGTGGACAAACCAGGATGTTGAGGTTTTAACCTCGGCCTCGGAGAAGTTCATGTGGTTTGAAGGCATGACATCACACACGGCAGGGGTAGCATTCAGAGACAAAGGTTTAATTTCATGTCAGCAACACAAAGAAGCAATTATCACAATTACAAATATTTGCTCGTATAAGGCTCAGAAATTAGGAAGGGGTGGGACGGGTGGAGAGAAGCTAGCAACAGCTTTACCCCTCCCCAAAATACTACTGAGTGATATTAGTTCACAAGCCTGTGAGATCCCAACCTCTGTGCTGTTATCACACAGTGCATTGCACTGGCACCGGACTTTGCCATGATCAAAATGATCAGTTACGTGGAGTTGATTTGGATGTGATAAAGATGCAGCTCTGAGGGCCTGGAGACCAGGCTGCTGTTGTGAAACAAGAGCCAAAGTGGCTTATGCTGCCCCCACCTCCTGGGGGCACTGGCTTACCATATTGCAAGGACCACTTAAAAAATGTCAGAAGACGATTATCCCTGATTGAGCTACTGCTCCCATCTTTATTAAACCCCAAGAGGTGTGGGAAAAGGCAAGCCATGAGCAGAGAAAGACATGGACTACACACTATAGCTTTGGTGACTTCATGTAAGTTTGGTTGTTCATGTGCTTCATTGGATTTTTGTGACAGCTTCATGGATGGACTTAGCCACATAGTCCAGGTTCTTGGTAGTCAGACCACACATGTTGATGCGCCCACTAGCCATCAGGTAGATGTGTTTTTCCTTGACCATGTACTCCACCTGCTTAGCTGGGGAAACAATTGGACATCAGGTCAGAGCAGCGACCCACAGCTCAGAAAAGCCCAAAGAACTAGTCAGGGATGCTTGAATCTTTCACAACAAGCAGAAATGTTCAAGCACTGGCCACTAAAATACTGTCTGGTGCTTCATCCCTCCCCAGCCACAGACACAGTGATACCAAAACTCCAGTGAGAGTGAGAGATTCCTGCTTGGACTGCTTCAGCCCAGTTCACCCAACCCTCCCTTCACCAGCCCACTGGATACTCACGGTTCAGGCCAGTGAAGCTGAACATGCCAATCTGCTCTGTGATGTGGTTCCAGGTGCCTGGGGTCCCGAGGGCCTCCAGCCGAGAGCGGAGCTCTGAGCGCATCAGCAGGACCCGATCTGCCATTGTCTTCACATTGCCCTTCCTGCAGCAGGCACGAAGCACAGCGTGAGGGTGGGCACCCGTCTGGTTTGAAGCCATCTGGCCAAGCCTGACACTCAGGGAGACAGCTTCCCTCCCTTGCCCTCTCCCACCGGCCCTGGCAACACGTACCACTCATCAAAGAGCTGCGGGGAAGCGAGTGTAGTGGCCACGATGCGCGCTCCCTGCGAGGGAGGGTTGGACCAAGTGGTGCGCACAATCTTCTCCATCTGGGACAGCACACGCTGCACGTTGTCTGCATCCTTCCCCACCACCGTCAGGTTCCCCACCCGCTCATCTGTGGAGAAGCCAAGAGATGTGAGCCATTGGTTCCACACGTCATGGCAAAGCAGAGAATTCCCCACCCCTCAGCATGCCAGCCCCATCTGCCTGGGTATGATGCTACTGGGCCAGCTTACTGCCAGACACTCACTGTAGAGCCCAAAGTTCTTGGAAAACGACTGTGCACAGAAGAGCTCAAAGCCCTCGGAGACAAAGTATCGCACAGCCCAGGCATCCTTGTCCAGGCTGCCAGAGGCAAACCCTTGGTACGCTGAGTCGAAGAATGGAAACAGGCTCCGGCGCTGCAAGGAGGAACAGTGTTAGAGGGAAATCCCCTCCCCACAAGCTCTTTTACCCCCCACAGTACTCATAGGAGGGAAAAATGACCACTGAGTTCCTGTGGGAATTCAAAGGAAACATGGTCCAGCAACACCAGACTGAAATACTTTCTTTCTACTGGGGGGAAAGAACGGAAAGACTAAAGTGGTCAATAAAAGTCAATGCAGGAGAAAACTGCATTTGAAGACATAAGAAGTGCACCACTTTATATGCTACTATCCAGCATCTGCCAGCAAATAATCCTTCCAGCAGGAGACATCTCACTACAGCCCATTCCAGAGTGTGAAAACAAGAACTTGGAGGCACAAGAACTGCAGTGCATCTCTCCTCTGAGCACAGATAACCAGCATTCCGTTGTCCACCTCTCCCTTCAACACCTACCTTGGGGGACTCTTTCAGATTCTGCTACATCTCATGCCATTCCCTCAAAGCCCATTTCAGATGCAAATGCTCTGGCTGGCTTGAGAGCTATTTGCCCCCTCAGCATTGCTTTAGCCCCAGCAGCAGCCCATACCTTCATGACAGCAGCAATCTGCTTCCACTGCTCGGGAGTAGGGTCTGTGCCTGTTGGGTTGTGCGCACAGGCATGAAGGATGAAAATGGAGAACTCTGGAGCTTGCTGAGGAGAGAACACATCTTGGTCATACACTCACATGGACAGAACTGGCCACCCACAGCACAGGGAGAGGCCTGGAGCTGCTCTGGGCAACAACAGCCTCTTTTGCAGTGATCCACTTCCTAGCCCAGTACACCACAGCCTAGCCAGCTGCAGATGCTGACAGTACGGCAGCAAGCTCAGCCCATCCCATGCCAGTTTTACTGACCTCCATGTCATTCAGCAGCCCCTGGAGATCCAGACCCCTCTTGGCAGCATCCCAGTAGTGGTAGGTTCTAATATCTTTGAAGCCAGCTTCCATAAACACAGAATTGTGGTTCTCTGAGGAAAGAAATAACTTCTCAGAAAAGCACATCCTATCTCCAGCAAGCTTCCTTCTCCGGCCCCAGCACCTCCCTTTACACACACGACAAGGCTGCTCCCTCACTGCCGCGGCCCCTGCAAAGAGCAGGGCTGTGCCTCCCTCGCTCGCTGACCCTCAGGGCTCCCTGGGAGCAGCACTCACCCCAGGTTGGAGTGGAGACGTAGACGGGGGTGGCTGTGTTGTTGTTGCCGTTGTACCAGCGCCTCAGGAAGTCGGCACCGATCCGCAGGGCGCCTGTCCCACCCAGGCACTGAACGCTGCCCACCTGCAACACAGACACTTGCCAGCACTGCCACCCAGCCTAGCACCGCCAGCAGGGCATGGAAAGAGAGCACAGCATTGCAACAGTAAGACAGGATCCCAAATGTGCCCCCTGGGGTCAGCTCAGTCAGAATGCCATCCCTTTCCAGTGGTCTTCAACCTCTTTCAGTGCTCAGGCCCATCCTGACAACTTCTACCATTATAAATAGACTCCGGCCATTCCTGTTACATTCTGGCACAGAGCAGATTCTCAGCTAGTAGTTTATTTCAGGAAAGGTGGTGTATTATCTGACTTGGGTTTCCTGTGGGGAAGCTATTAAAAGATGAAGGAAAACACAGATTCCAATCACAGGCCACATTCAGCCTTT